CCCCAAAACCCCAAAACCCCAGAATTAATTTTAGAGCTGTATTAATAATAATTCTGAATAAATAATAGAAAAATAAACTTTAATGAAATAAAAGCGTAGCTCAATAAACATTGATGCTAAATTTCTCGATTAAGAACATTTTCAGAGCAAACTATCTATGACATATCGAAATTAGAAGTCAGGGATACAAAGCATTGTCAGTCCAAATTCAAAGAACTCTGAAAGTGACACTCCATTGAGATTAGAAGATGTCACAGTTCAATAGGAAAAATATAGAGGTTATTACACTCAGAGAGTCAAAGAACAAGAGGTAACTTAAAACCAAAAAGATAAGATCGAATAAGCCATTTTGAATAAAGTTTCAAAGCTATTTAAAGAATACTACTAAGACCATGGTGACGTTTAGACTCAAAGACAGATGAATATGGTACGAGAGAGGGAACAGCGGAGGCTTAAATTACAACTCAAACTCCTTAAGTTAAGACAAGATAAAAATGAACTTGAAACAAATTACAAGCCATTAAAATCTATGATGTTATCACCGTTCATTCCATCTCAAACTAACAGCACCTAAGGAAATTACAAGAGTAATAATATAAACAAGAACAGTGATAGTAAGAATATAAAGGCGAAGCCATAGAATGGGTTTTAAATAAGGAGTAGGAACATAGATTAGATGCCAGCTATTCAGACTTAAAGGATAGATACCTTCAGAGATTAGAATATCTAAGAAGATCTCTTAAAAGGTTGGGTTGCCTTTGATTCTGACAACATAATTAAAAAAGCCAAAGATAAGATATTTCTGACTTAGTAGCAAGATTCAACAGATCAATTTGATAATTATGATAATCTAATCAGCGAATTTTAAAGTATTAAGAGTTTATCTCCATGCAAAATGCCATGATAGTCAAGTCTACTTTCTACAAAAACCTCTAAATAGGTTATACAGTTTCATAAGAATCAGCTTTATAATAATCTAGGCTTGAAACAAGCAATTAACGATATGTATCTGAGATCTGGAAGTCTTGATCTTGAAGTAAGTCCTATGAAAAGCTAGCCTTTAAATATGATTAGAAGTGCGAGAGATCTCGGAATTCAGAACTAAAAGCTACTTAATTTAAAGCAACTCAGCAACATGAAATCTCATAGATAATATATGCCTCTTTTTGACGATTTTAGATATATAAACATAATGAGGAAAAATGAAGAAGTTAAGTCAAATAATAGTCAGCACTTAAGGCCACGTACTTTCAACATAAATCTTATTAAGAGAAAGGTAACTGATTAAAAAATCAATTCGATGATGATAACTGATAGTAACCTAGTAGTAGAAGGGAAATTTTCATAGAGTCTGATACTCTCAATGGTTAAGACCTTAAGTCACTGTCTTAGCGATTTATCTGCAAAGCTATTCAATAATAATCAAACCTCCTGGGCTAATTTCACAAATTGGCTTAAGAAGTCTTAGCTATGTCATATGAATATTATACTTGAGGAGATAACTGGAATTACTTTATAGGTAGGAGAAATTCTCTTAATTAAATTCAAAGACTTCCCAGAAAAGATAGGAATTTAAGATCCCAGATATATCCTGAACCTAGATTCTTTGGTTTCAGATGAGTGTGAAGTCTGGGAAGATAATCTTTTGAAGTTCAAAGAAGTCAGGCAATTTTTCTTTCATGCATTTGATTCATATTAACTTATGACCTCCTAGTTGGGTTATGGCTCAGTCAGAGACGAAGAAATGATGATTATGCAAGGTTAGATTATTGAAATCAGATTCAAGATCAGTGAGTTCATTTGGCTGATAGAAAAGTATACCATTTTGTTTATGGAAGATAAAGCAACCCAAAATGAAATAAATAGTTAATACAAGAAGGACAGACCTGACTCTAGAGAGAAGAGAAAAGAGACTTAGATGCAGTACATTAGAAAAATTCTCAAGAAAACTAAGAAAATAATCAGATCTAAAAATGATCCTGAGTTCGAGTTCAAGATTTCTATTAAAAATGCTGAGGCAGACTTGGTGATTAAAAAGGAAAAGGTTTTCAAAGAAATGACTGAAATTTAGAAGATAAGGATTAAGGAAGCCCTAAAAATAGGGTTGAGAGGTGGATCTTATAAAACAACAAAATCAATACAAGCATTGACTGATGAAATAAGAAGAGAAGAATATTAAAAACAATAATTGAAATAAAAAATGGAAATTTTAGCATAGTAAAAGTGATACAAAGTAGAAGAAGAGTATATTATCTAGAGCAAATTAATGAGGCTTTTGAAACTATTATATAAAATTATCATTTTATTTAAAAAATTTTTTGATATTATATTGGATTTACTAATTTGGGGTTTTGGGGTTTTGGGGTTTTGGGG